CAGCGGGACAGTGGAGCCTGTCTGCTGACATATGTGCCGGAGTGTGTGTGTGTGTGTGTGTGTGTGTGTGTGTGTGTGTGTGTGTGTGTGTGTTTACGTGTACTCATGCTCATCTCTGGGTGGGAATGTTTGTGTATGCATTTGTGTGGGGATGTGTGTCAGCATCTGTTGTGGATGTCTGTCACACATAGGTGTGTCTTTGCATCTGTATGGGACAGGGGCCGTTTTTATAGGGAAAACGTTTCTCTGTGTTGCTGCTTCCTTTTTCTCAGAGGCCGTGTTTGTATGTGAGGAGGGGGTGTGTTCCAGAAGGACCAACAGGAAGTCTTGGACCAGAAGCAGAGCCCTCCCTGTCCTCCTGAGCAGAACTAGTCTTTCTCCCCGGGCACCTTCCAGTCGGCCTTGGGTAGACTGAGGAGGGCCACCCAAGGCTGGCCAGGCTGCCTGGCACACACGGAAGAGTGGCCTTGGGTGTTTTCCGGCTGCCCCATGCTTCTTCGAGGCTCCACCTCCTAGCTCAGGTCAGGGAAGGCATTGCGGCAGGGCGGGTAGCTATGGGCACCGGGGACTGTCTCTCCCCTCTGGCACAGGCCTCACCACCTGCCAGCATATGCCTAACCAGGGAAGACCAAGGAGGTTTTTAAAAATCCCAACTCGGAGAGAAACTAGAATAGACCATAGCTCATCAATCTTTTTTTTAAAAATGGAACCTTTTTTTTTTCATACGGACAATTTAATTTATGCTGTAGTATTAATTAGATTCATGTAATTTGGCATTCAAAAAGTGAACAGTGTACCCGAAAAGTCTCCTTCGCATCCTCGTCCCCAGCCACCTGGGGAGCAGCCGCTGGATGGATTCGTGGCTCACTTGTCTCAATGTGTCTTTGCTCCACCCAGGATCTCTGGCTCACTGGTCAGAAACCCTTCATGCAGACCATCCCTTTCATTTGCTCTTGAGGCTCAGAGAGGTCAGATGACTGCTCCAAGGTCACACAGCAAGTCCACCGCAGAAGCAGAATTCACACCCAGGTCTCCCTGTCACCTCGTCACCTCGTCACCTCCCTGTTTCTTCTATGCACCACAGCTCGGGGGCTGGAACATCACAGGGCCCTGGGACAAAGACAATTTCCAGGACATCCTGCAGGTGGTCACCTCCCACTACCGCACCTCACCCTTCTTCTCTGTCTACGTCAGTGCAGACTCCAAGAACTCCAACAGCAACGTGATCCAGGTGAGCCGGCCTGGAGCCCCGGAAAGAGGAAGGGGCATGACCACATGGCCTGTCTGGAGTCTAGCCAGTGCTGGGTTTCGGGGAGACTTGCCCTAGGCGGCGGGCTGCTGGTTTCTGAGTCTGGGTTATAGCTGGTGTTCTCCCAACCATGAGAGCTTTACGGGCAAGCAAGAAGTTTTGAAAAGGCGGGTCACTGCAGCACATATGAATCTTTGGGGTTCTGATTGGTCCATGTGGGCTCCAGGAGTGATGTCAACCCCTGGGCACACCTGCAGCCACCTCCTGGTCTGCCCTCTTCAGCCTCTAGCCTTTGTGACTCTGTTTAGAATGGCTTCGAGTCCATCTCTTCCTCCCAGAGCCTGCCCCAGACTGAGCATCAGCACGTCCAGGGAACCTAGGCTGGGTGTCATGAAGGCCAAGTTCCCACCCATCTCTGCCACTACTCATTGTGTGACCTTGGTCAAATGCCTCAACCTCTCTGATCTGCAATTTCCTTATCAATCAAATGAACTGTAACAACGCCTACTCTTGGTCTGTCACGGTATGGCCATCAGGCTGATAGTAGCTGTGAGAACCGACCCTCTCCACCCACCCTGCTCTCCCCGCCTTTACCAGCATCTCTCCTCGAGTCGTCTTCCCAGCTCTGAGCGTCACGTCCTACTTCCCTTGTTTTCCAGATGAAGAACCTGGGGATCAGAAAGGTTTAGTAACTTGACCAAGGTTATACCCATCCCGTGAGTGGCTCTTAACCAGTGCACCATCTTAGGAAGCGTTTCATGAAGTAGAGGGGCTCTGCGGGGCTGAGGAGGTGTTTAAAGAGGAGGGTGGCCCTTGTGGCCCTTCTGAAGGGCCCAGAGTCCCTGTGCTGACCACGCGCGTGGGCAGAAATTTAGCTCCACATGGGCCTGTCCCCTCCCCAGGTGGGCCCATGCCACGTCTCAGCTACCGGCGGGTGCTCCTGCTGAGACCCAAACTGGTCCTCTGTGGTCATCTGCCAGCCGTCCCCAGGGCGGGTGGCGGCCATGCAGTGTGTGTGTACAGCGGGAGGTTCCTGCTCACCCCCACCTTTCTCTCCAGGTGGACCAGTCTGGCCTGGGTTTACCCTCACGGGACTATTACCTGAACAAAACCGAAAATGAGAAGGTGAGTAGGTCCCTTCAGAGAGAGTGGCTCCCACCCCAGCCCACTGCCGTCCATGGTTTGTCTCTCTCCGTGTCCCCTCAGTGTTCTCATCTGTGCAGGTCTTTGAAGCTGGAGGAACACAGAGGTGTCACTTACTGATAGGTGACATGCAGGCCCTGGCAGGGGAGGGCTGTCATTTGTCCCCATTCTAGACCACTGCAGCAGTAACGGCCACTGCCATTTGTGGGTGCTGGACCTTTTTTATACGTGTCACCTCTAGCCCTCCAGTGACCCAGCAGATACTGACCTTCTCTGAACTTCATTCGCCTCCTCTGTCACATGAGTATTTTTCTTTTTTTACCTTGTCTATTTCAGAGGAGGGAATAAGGCTCAGAGACACTTCACACAGCCTGTAAATGGTGAGGCTGAGATTCACATCCAGATCCACTAACTCCAAAAGCCCGTGCATTTCCAGTCCCCGGGCTGCTGCTCGTAAAGTCCCAGCGAGACCTTGCCTGAGGTTCATCATCTACCCATTCATCATTCCACCCACTTGTATCAAGCAAGCGCCTACTAAGTACTTGATGTTGGGGAGACAGTGGCCAATAGGCGGCACGGTCCCTGCCCCTCGGGGCTTAGAGTCTGGTCAGGGAGGCAGACGTTAATGAACTAAGCACAAATTACAGGCACAATGACAAGTCGTGATAAGTGACAGGTGAACTGAGAAGGTACGTGGGGACCCAGTTCAGATCTGAGGGCATAGCAGAGGAGGGCAGTTCAGAAAAAGTGAATTCTAGGAACCGAAAGATGGCCCTGCTGGTGGCTCTCATGTGACAAACATGTGGGAGAGAACGTGGGCCAGGACAGCAACCCATGTGGGGGCCTGTGGGGAGCCAGCGAAGGGATGCACTGCTGACATCATTCTCAAAGCTGGTTTCCAGTGGGTTTCTGGGCGAAGCACCCAGACCCCTCGCTCCCTGTGCTGGGCTGCAGCCGGCCCTGCCCCACCCTGCCGCCCTTGTCCAGTGGCAGTGGGTGGCAGCTACTGACAGATCGAGGGTGCTGGGTCCCACAGGTACTGACAGGATACCTGAACTACATGATCCAACTGGGGAAGCTGCTGGGCGGAGGGGACGAGGATGCCATCCGGCCCCAGATGCAGCAGATCCTGGACTTTGAGACAGCTCTGGCCAACATCACCATCCCCCAGGAGAAGCGCCGGGACGAGGAGCTCATCTACCACAAAGTGACAGCGGCCGAGCTGCAGGTAGATTGAGCTCCAGCTGATGCGGAGGCTGGGACAGCCACAGGGTTTCGGGACGTGGGGTGCTGGGCTCGGGGCTTTACACGCGCTTCCTCAGACCCTCAGAACAACCCTAGGAAGCAAGGAAGGTCGTTCTGCCCAGTTCACAGATGGAAAAACTGAGGCTCAGAGGTAGACTTACCTGCTGGAGGCCACCACGTCCAGTGACTCCAGAACTAGTCTCTTGCCTTACGCTAGGCTGGTTTTCTGTAACAGCATTTGCCTGCGGAGACTCCGTGGTCACGATAGTAAAAAGTCACATCAACGAAGGGGCATTTCCTGTCTCTTGAGCACCAAGTTCATTGAGCCTGGTGTACAGCAAACGGTAATTGCGAAGGGCAGGTTCTGTCATCACTTTCTTCCAAGCCGGGAGGTTAGGGGACGTGTTCAAGGCCTTGACTCTCCTACGGGGCAGGGGAGCTGAGCATTGGACTCAGGCTTGGCTCACTGACGCTCCCGATGACCTCCTGGAGGTGTAACGGGATTGGGGTCGGAACTGTGACGCTCTCTGTACCGAGTGTAGCCCATCTGAGAAGCCAAAGTTCCCCCCATACCCAGCCTTTGCCCTGGTGGCTGCCTGGGACTTGCAGGCCATGAGTTGGCTTGCAGTTTTCCAGTTCATGAGGTGTCAGTGTCCAGCCTTATCCCCGGCCCCTGGAATCACAGGGAAATCAGCAGAGTGGCCTCAGCCAATCTTCTTGTTTCCTGCCATCGCCCAGGATTGCTTGGCTGGACCTCGTTCCCTTGCTGGGGAGGACGTCTGGGCGGGATTCCTCCCTTCGCTACCCTCTGACCAGCCAGGTCCTGCCCGTGTGTTACTCATTTCCTCTCCTTTCTGGAAGAACACTGAGGTCCCTTCCCTTTTCTCTTCCATTCCTCCCTTCAACAAGTGTCTGTGGGGCCACCTTGGGGCCTTGCTTCCAGGCAAGTGGGGGCCACCAATGAGGAAACAAAACAGGGCACCAGGAGCTGGGAAGGGTGAGGTCAGGGAGCGGGTCTGACGAAGGGGTGAGCAGCAGCCGGGCCGATGGGGATTCCCAGGTGGTCGGCGGTCAGGGCAAGGGGACCTGGCCTTCTTCTGGCTGCCAGCTGCCCTTTAGATCCCCAGAGAAGCTGGCATCAGGGTGAGTGGTGCTGGGTGGGTTGTTAAGGACGTCAGCCTGTGACGGGCACCATCTGGCACTGTTATTTTGCTCTGAGGCCAGGAGGTCAAGGGAGATGCTGTTTGTGCAGCGTAATTTGGTTTGCTTCAGCTGCCCACTTCTCAGCTCAAGAGGGGCCTGGCAGTCCCTCAGCCCCCACAGTGGCCATGATGCCAACCGACTACCCTAGGCGTGGGAGAGAAGGCACAGAGCCCTGGGCGCCTCAGCCCCAGCGTGGCTCTCAGGTTCTGCCCCCGGGCTTCCTGTCGCCATTGCTTTTGCTCTGTTCTTCCAAACGAGGCATGGGAGCCCTTTCCTCCAACCCGGCTGCAGAGCTGCCAGGATGGAGGGGACTTTAGCAGAGACAGCAGCCTGGAGTGGTGTGAGCCCTGGGCGTGGAGACAGAAGCGGGCCCTGGCTCAATCCCACCACGAGCCGTGTGCCCTTGGGCAAGTCACACAACCCCTTTTTTGAGCCTTGGTTTCCTTCCTTGTAAAATGCGCTTTGCTCGTTCGTTCACACCTGCCATATGCCAAGGTACAGAGACAAATGAGAGTCGCCTCCTGCTCCCACAAGGAGAAGTGGTTCTTTAAGCCACAGAGACCTTTGAGAACAGGTTGAAAACTACAGTGATTCCCAGAAGAAACGGACATATGTATATATTATTATATGGCCACATAAAATAATAATGTCTAACATTTGAAGACGTCCTGGACCCCTGATGCTGTCTACTGAGTAAGAATCTCTGCCTGGCCTGCTCATGGGGTTGCAAGAGGATGAGATGAGACAAAGGCGAGATTTCATACTGTAAACTGACATGCGTGGTTTAAATATATTTTAGTAATCATTATTAGCATTCCTTTGTTATTGCTGATCCTCGCCCCTGTCTCCAGCACTAAGCCAATTCGATTCATTCCACCCTTGGATGGAGGATGTCTCGTTGTTCCCTGGTATCTAGAAATTTGATTTTCTTTTCACACTCTAGGTGACTCAGGGAAAGGCACTCCAGCCTTCACAGTGTGGTTCTAGGCTAGCCCAGCCAGAGGGCAGAGTGGTTTCAGGCTAGCCCCCAGCAGAGCCTGAATTCAGAGCCGTGAATCACACATCCTTCTGTCGCTTCTCTGGGGGCCTGAGGACCCTCCCATTCATTTCTAGGACCTCCCACACCGAAAGGTGTTTGGGAATGAGCCCCATCCCCTGCTCTGAATTCTCCAGCTGAGATAAAGCCCAATAACATTTTTCTTTTCTCTCCCACTTTGCAAGCCTACTTAAGCTGGTTGGTTGGTGACCAGCAGTTCTCTTTGGCTGTGCTTGTGGAAAATAGAGCTCATCAGTGTGCCCCAAAGGGTATGAGTCACACGTGGAATGTCCTAGTCAGTTAAAACAGCCATCTCCTTGGAGACAGACCTAGGCACACGTGTTTAAGTTAGGCATTCACTAGAAGAATAGAGATCGAACATGTGAAAATCCTGGTATTCAGCACACACCCTGTCTCAGAGAGGTGGGACTTTACCTGCACAGAACACCTGCTGTCCCTAAAGGAACAGGCTTGTGTTAAATATATAGAGATTTATCTCCTGGTCAGAGATCCAGTTCCCTGCAGTTCCTGAAGCTCCGTTAGTTGTATAAACAATGGTGTTTTGTAAACTTGGTCAATTTCCCAGAGGTCTTTACCAGCAGGTCATGCAGGCAGGTAGTCTAAGCGTTGAGCCCTATTTGACCATCTCACCTAGACAGCTCCAAGTCCTGCAACCACAGAAATATGAAGGAGAAGCCCCAGAGGTTACCTGCCCAAGGGGCTTCTGCCAAGAAGAGAGAGCAGAAGGAAGGAGCTGGGGAGAAGGGAAACTCAGTTTGTTGAACAAGCTGTCCCTAGAGGCACAGAGCAGCCAACCCTGGAGTGGGAGGCAGGAATTGTTGTCCCCATTTTAGAGAAAGACAAATTTTCTCAGTCTAGTACAGGGCTTTTGCAGCTCACCACACTGCCAGGCAGGCAGGCAGGCTTGTGCTGGAGCCCGCTGGGCACAGCTCTCCCAGACTCTGTGGGTGGTCTGCAATAGGTCATGGCAGAACTACAGACTAGCCCCCGCCCCTGACTGAGAGCCCCCACTTGCCTCTGGGAGCTGCCCTCCTCTGTCCTTTGAATTGAGGTCCTTGTTCCTCAGCAGCTGAGCTGCCCTTTAAAAGCACAGGCCTGCACAGTCACTAGTTAACTGTGTGACGTCAGAAAAGCCACTTTAACTCATCTGCAAATTCAGTGTCTGCTAAGTGAAGGGTTTTTATGGCTGCCTCTCTCACTGAGGACATCGTAGGTATTTACCAACTGGTTATAGATTCCGCTGATGTATAGACTGATTTTGTATTATGGATCGATCTTACCATATGAAGATCATCATTTATAATGCATCTCTCACTTCCCTCATTTGTCTTGCATTTTTGCCCTTTTTAAAGGGAACAGAGAACAGAATTTGGAATTGGACAAGCCCAGGCCCACTTTTGGGAGACCTTGAGCAATGATGACAATAGCTCATATGGATTGAGTGTTTGCTAAGTGCCGGATACCCTGCTAAATGATCGACATGTATAGGTATTTTTTGTTCTAACATGGCACGTGTAGTCCTGAAAAACCTTGCATTCTATAAATTACAGAAAGTAACTAAAAATAACAAGACATATTGGAAAAATAGGACTAGAACAGACTGTTCAAATGTGCAACTTTGTTTGAGGACATGACACTAAATAAAATAAGCCAGTCACAAAAGAGCAAATGTTGTATGGCCCCACTTCTATGAGGAAGCTAGCATAGTCAAATTCATAGAGGCAGAACGTATGATGGGGCTTGTCTAGGGCTGGGGGAGGGTTCTGGGGGGGTTATGGTTTAATAGGTATGGAGTTTCACTTTTGCAAGATGAAGTCTGTGCAAAGATGGCGGTGTTGGTCCCATAACAACATGAATGTACTTCATACCACTGAACCATACACTTAAAAAGGGTTAAGAAGGTCAGTTTTATATGCATGTTTTATCACAATTTTTTAAAAAGTTGTGTAACTGTCTAATGAAAACACTCATAAAACAATAATTGGAGACTGCCCGGTGGGAAGTAGAAATGCTGGCTGTGGACACTGAGGCCCTGCAGACAGACGGGAGCTTGGAGCAGCGGGGCTGCCGGTGAGGTGGGCCAAGAGCAAGTGCAGCCTGCTGGAAGTAGAGCGTTAAGTCAAGCTGGGTGTGCCTCTGTTGGGGGAGGGGGCAGGTGCTCATTTTATATTGTCTTAAAATAGAGCTGATGAGCTTCCTGTGGGTGCCTCAGCTGAGCTGAGAGGGCTTTCCCTTTCTTGCTGAAGGTTGTCTCTCGTTCTACACTTGCTTTGCCAGATGCCAGGCCTGAGGAAAAAAAACACCCATGGACCAAAGCAGCTGACACGTTACACTGCTGTCACTCTTGAATTTAGCAGCTATACAGTAAGCCGGTCAGATAGAGGCTAATTGATGCTATGGAAGCGCCTGTCGAGTGGGACAGTATTAACTCATTTAATACTAAACCCTATGAGGCAGGGCTCTGTTATTACGGTGATCTCCATTTTTCAGATGAGATCCTCAGGCACCAAGGGGTTCATCATCTTACTTATGGTCACACAGCTCGTGAGTAGAAGAGCTAGAGTGTGAACCTGGGGAGTCTGGCTGCAGATTCTACGCGCTTGCCCATCACAGGCCCGTCTGAGGCTCAGTTTCTCCATCAATGAAATGGGGATAATAATTCACCACCTGGGACTGCCACAAGGACCAACTGGAAGGAGACATATGCAACTTCTGCAATGACACCTGGCAGGGGAGGGGCCTGACCAACCACAGCTGCTCGCTGCTGCCACTGTGTCTCCTCTACTCTACCCTAGCTCCTGAGAATTTTATCTACAGCATCTCTGACAAAAGTCAGCTGGCCTCTGTTTGACATCTGCCCGGTGCACTGTTGGACAGGTCCCAGTCCTTTGCTTTGCCCAAGGGTAGAAGGCACAATGACCACTTCTTCAGACGAACGCCCTGGAGATGTGGCTTCTGAGGAGAAATGGCCCAGCCAGAGTCACACTGTCCTCTTCCTTTCCAGACCTTGGCCCCCGCCATCAACTGGCTGCCCTTCCTCAACACCATCTTCTACCCCGTGGAGATCAACGAATCGGAGCCTATTGTTGTCTATGACAAGGAGTACCTCGGGCAGGTCTCCACCCTCATCAACAGCACTGACAAATGGTAAGGGATACCTAGCGGCCAGGGACAGGCCTTTCACAGGCAGCCTTTGGGGCCACACACTGCTGCCTTCTTCTCAGGCAGGATGGGTGGGGACAGCGGATGACAACCTAATTCAGAAAAGTGGACCCTGGGTCTGGCTTTTATGAGAAGCAGCTGGGTGCCCTGGTTACAAGCGCAGGTGGACATCCCAGCTCCTCCACCTACCAGCTTTGTAGCCTTGAGCACGTTTCTCACCGTTCTTAGGTTCATTTTCGGCATCCATAAAATGGGGACATAAACTGCACCTACCGTGTAGGGTTATTGGTTGTGAGAACTGAGTGGAATAATCCGTGGGAAGTGTTTTAACATGGAATGGGACTTGGTAAATGTTAGCTAATATTTTTATTTTTGATTTTTTTTTAATTTTTAAGATTGTAGACATTTTTGAAAACTGCAGAAAAAAATAGGAAAATAATTATAATTACTCAGAACACCACTGTCGATCTTATGGGATGGGCCCGTGTGTTTGTGAGTGTGCATTTGGGGTGAGAGAAAGCATGTATGTGAGGGAGAGGGAGAGAGAGAGATGGATTTTCTAATACATGGTTCCTTTTCCCCCCATGATTGTGACTACATGTATAGGCTGCTTTTCCCCTGACCTTTATTATAAGCAGTTTTCCCCATGTCACCCCAAACCCTCTGCAGACCTCATTTTTCTTGACTGCGTAGTATTCCATTGAGCATAAATATGATTATTTACTTACCCCTTCTCCTGTTGTCAGACATTTAGATTGGTTCCAGTTTGAGGCTAGCAATAAGCATTTATTGAGCACTTGTGGTGTACAGTCATTGCACTAGGCACAGAGGGGTTTTCAAAAGAAGACCCAGGCTCTGCCCTGGAAGAGCTGCCCTCCCAAGTGCTTCAAGAGCAGTAACCAGCCCCACTGGGATGGGAAGGCTTGGTGTGAGCGCCCCTAGAGATCAGCGGGGGAAGTGCTGTGACACGTCTGCCGGGAGCCATTTCTGAGCACTGTCTGGTGTCCTATGACCAACCTCAGGTATTGTAACCTGGTGCGAAAGACAAGCACCTTCCTCGATCAGCGCTTTCAAGACGCCGATGAGAAGTTTATGGAAGTCATGTATGGGACCAAGAAGGTGAGCCTGTTTGTGGCACGTGTTGAGCACCTACTATGTGCCAGGCCTTGAGTTGGAGGCTGGTATGACCAGGGCCATGGAACTCGTGAGGGAGTTAGATGATAGGCAGAGAACGGAGAGGGCCCCTGAAGGGGTCCACCCAGATTTCCCTGAGCACACAGGAGGGGACATAAGCCAGCCTGGGATGGACAGAAGCTTCCAGAAGGAAGCGATTATACCAAATGTTAAAGAGTAAAGAGCAGTCTTGGCACTTAGCTAATTTACAGCAAAAAGTAGTCTGTGTTCTCTCTCAACTCCTCGATGATAATGATAAACGCTTTCCTTACCTAACTCATGTGAGCTTCACATCCCCTGTGGGGTAGGTGCCATCATCAGGTCCCTTTTACACAAGGGACCCCCAATTATAGTACTTTTCTCCCATAAACATAAAGCACTTGGAGCAGCACCTGGCTCACGGTAAGTATGATGCAAGCGTTCGCTGATGTTATTATCCTTCCTGGCCCCAGAACACATGTCTCCACCCACCTTTAAAGTCCCCCACATTCTTTCAGAGGTCCTAGGGCTCCAGGGCCCACCCCTTCCCTCTCCCAGGGAACTCCCTGGTCCTGACCTCCTGTGTGGTCAGCCTGGCTGGACCAGGTGCAGCTTGTGTTCAGCTGGAGGCTGTACCTCTGGGGAAGGGAGGCAAGATTACGGGGAGCAGGGGGAAGACAGGGAAGACGTCCAAGCAGACACCTGGGTGGGAAAGCTTAAAAGAACTTGCTTTTTTGCCTGGAAGAAGTTTTTTAACTAAGGCGTAATTTACATACAATAAAATGCATGCATGAAGTACACAGTGCAGTGAGTTTTAACGAATGAAATCACACGTGCAACCACCACACCAATCAGAGGGCATTTCCCTCACCAGCGTCCTCTGAGCAGAAGGTTCCCCTGTGCCCCTCTCCCGTCAGCCCCCCACCCTGTACCTCCAGGTGGGTGTAGGTGGGTGTAGATGGAATCATATGCTAGGCACCCTTTTTCGTCTGGCTTCTTTTGCTCAGCATAAGCCTGTGAAATCCATCCGTGGTGTGTATATTCGTAGTTCATTCCTTTTTGTTGCCAAGAAGTGTGCTGTTGTATAAAAATACCACATTCTGTTTATTCATCTGCCTATTGATGGGCATTTGGGTTATTTTCAGTTGAGGGCTGTTATGAAGTGGGCTGCCCGAGCCCGGATGATTTTTACCACCTGTTGTTCAGGGTTCAGAGGGCTGCCGCTCAGGGAGTGGGTGAGGCTGAATGTTGCCTGGATGCTCTTCCCTGAGCCATGCATGCTCCATGAGGCTGCAGCCCTTGGGGTACCCACCTGGAGATGTGCTGTGGCTATTGAGCTCACAGGTGACACCAAGAACAAATAAATGTGTCTGGTCCTACAGCGGCTGTTTTTTTTCTAGGAGGCTTTAAATGGGGCTGGGATCCTGGCTTTCTTGAAAGGTTTCCTGCTGCTCAGGGTTAGACGAGGTAACTTCCCAAGGTCCTTTGTCACCAGGATTTTTAGCCTCCACCAGGAGGCAGGACAAGGTAGGGGTAGGAGAGTAGGGTGTAGGGTTGGACACAGCAGAGTTCTGGTTACTGTGGGACCCAGAACTGGATACGTGACTTCTCTGTGCTGAGTTTGTTTCCTCATCTGTCAAGGGCCCACCATCCCTGCCTCCAAGGCTCACTTTGATGGGTTGATGGGATACCACGTGTGGAGCCTGCATTCGGAAAATAGTACATGGTGGTGATGAGGGATGTCGTGGGGCCTCTCGGCCCAGTGCCTAAAAGAATTTCTGCTGGGTTAAGAAAGGTCTCCCTGAAGTTCTGGAAGGAAATACGGGCACCAGATGGACAGGGGTTGGGCAGAAGGAGGACAGGGCCAAATAACCCTTCGCACTTGTGTTCCCAGACCTGTCTTCCTCGCTGGAAGTTTTGCGTGAGTGACACAGAAAACAACTTGGGCTTCGCCCTGGGCCCCATGTTTGTCAAAGAGACCTTCGCCGAAGACAGCAAGAACATAGTAAGTGCCCCGTCTTGGACACAGGCTGTAGCATCACACCAGCAATGGTCCCTTGTGAACTTGACGGCCCACGCTCTGGTCTGCTCTGGACCTTCCCTGCTCCGGCCCAGGGCGCCAGCCTTAACTCCAAGGTCCCGTTTTCTGAAGCCTTAAATAATGTGAGTCAGGCCTCTTACCTGTATTATCTCATTTAACCCTTGCCGTAGCCCTGCAGGGTTATTCCAGCCGTGTCTACCTCCAAGGGTATGAAGAACCCAGCTAGATAATGTTGACACAGCAGCTCTGGCCTAGAGGGTAACATTTTTCTTACACTGGGTGACAGATTTGTTCTAGACGGGCAGAGGAATGTCCTGGCTAAGCATGATGTGAAGACAGCCTGGCCTCAGGTCAGATCTTGGATTTACCGCTTCCTGGTTGGGTGACTTGGGACAATATTCTCACCTCACCTGTCACATGGGGGTGGGCATGTGCATCCACCAGGGGGAGATTTTTTAAAATGAGAGACTACACATAAAGAGCACCTGGCACAAAATAAAAGTTCGATAAAAGGTAGCTATTACGTTGTTACAATTTTTATTGCTAAAATTAAATACATAGATGTTATCTGCAGTCAGAAGTTAGCAGAGACTAGAATCCGTTACGTGAGCCTTGCCCGTGGGTGGCTGGTGCAGAGTCCACGTAGAGTTCGGTGGGCCATCGGTCCCTCTGTGCTTTCTGCTGCGTGACTCCGCCTTCCCTTGGTCCGGCATCTTTAGCTGCCAGGGCTGCTTGTTCCTCTCAAGCCTGCACAAAGCACTTCTGAAACTGCTCTTTGGAACTTGAGTTCTCTAGATTTTAACGCCCATTCCATCAAAAAGGAATTCTGTGGTCCAGTAAGTCTGAGGATGGCTATGTCTTCTAGTCCTCTCTGAAAGGAATCGCAGTGCATGTGATACCGTAAAGGCTCTGAAAAGTCCTGCAGTGAAGAGACTTTCCCAGCATTCTCAAAGCTTGCCCCAAGGGTATTTGACCATGGAGCCCTGGTTATGGAAGTCCAGTCTTCTCTTGCAGGGCGTTAGTATTCTGAAGAACAATGTTGGGGAACATGGCTGAGGCGCCCCTTCTTAGCCTAGCACCTAGGAGCCTGAGGCTTTGAGCCAAGAGCTGAGTTTAGTCTCTGTCTGGGTGTCATCCTCCTACATGGGGACCCGTCCAGTGTCCAGGCCTTACTGATTCAGCTTCTGTCTCCCCAGGCCAGTGAGATAATCCTGGAGATCAAGAAGGCGTTTGAGGAAAGCCTGAGCACCCTGAAGTGGATGGATGAAGACACTCGGAAATCAGCCAAAGAAAAGGTGAGGCCCGCCTGGTGCTTACAGGGCTGGCTGAGGCTTCCTGCACAGAGGCCACAGCCACCAGTAGAGGAGGGTGGATGATGGAGAGACTATGACCAGATTCTGTCCTGCCTTCAGGGGGTGGACAGTCCAGCAGGGTGGAGGGACAGCCTTGAACACATGAGTGCATTGATGACAGTATGAAAACAAACTGCCGAATGTGCAGGGGCGGCAGGCGTGCAGGGGGTGTGACGTGTCTCAGGGAGAGTGAAGGGTCCGATGTGGTCTGGTGGGGTCGTCGCAGTGGAGGCTTCCCTTGGGAAGGGACATTTAAGCAAGACCCAAAGGATAAGTAGAAGTTAGGCAAGAGAGGGATCTTTCCGGAAAGAGATGTGAAAGGCCTGAGGTGGGAGGAGCCTTGCCCTGGTTCCCACAGAGCGCTGCTGGGCACTCACCGTTCTGTGTCTCTCCTGTCCAGGCGGATGCAATCTACAACATGATAGGCTACCCCAACTTCATCATGGACCCCAAGGAGCTGGACAAAGTGTTCAATGACGTGAGTGGCTCTCACCCTGTCCCTTTGCATTCCCAAATGCCCCTGTCCCCACTCGGGAAAGGGCAGAGGCAGTTTGGGTCCAGATGGGACGCCGGAGGCATGATGACTCTCAAGACATCTTGAGATGCTGAGGCGTGGGGTTTGGGGACGAATCAGGCACAAGGAAGCCACTCTCTCCCTGCTCCTTCCTCCCCTGGGCCAGCTGTAGGTCCCGCCTCCCTGGGATACACTGGCAGTCAGTACCAGAGTAGTGCCACGTGCCCTGCTGGAAGCGGTCTGCTCCATTTAATGCGTGGGAAATAGTGTGGGGGCGGGGGACATTCTAGAAGGTGCACAGCTCATTGGTGCCCCTAAAATGTAAAGGAGTGGGGTACAGCGCATACCACCTCCTCCTTCCCAGCCTGGGGTCCTCCCCACCTTCCCAGAGAAACCTGGACCCCTGATTCGGCCTTTGAAATGCAAATGGGGAAGAGGAAGCACAAACCCTAACTGTGCGTAAAAGCTTAATTCGGGTAGCAAGGGTGGTTAATGTACCCCTCGTGTTTAGAACTTCTGGCAAATCACTCCTTTAAGTGGATTGTGCTTCTGCCCTGAAAGATAAAGTTTTATATCTTTGTGTGATTGAAACTTGTAAATTCAGGCATTTTTACAATTGTAATAACATCTCATCATGGTTATATTTAAAACCTCAGAATATTAAAATTACTTCTGAGAATACGAGACTCATTCTGCAGCCTTTTTCCTTGAGCATCATTTAAGACGCTCCAGAATGGCATAATAGACCAGCGGTTTCTGGAAACCGCCCAGGCAGAGCCCGCAGGATCAGAGTCCCGCCCCCAAGGGCCCAGCATTTAACCAGAGCCTTGTCGTAAAGCCAGAAAGCTCTAGAGAGAATCTAGGGAGAACCTCACACCTGAAAAGATCTGAAAGGCTGGGCTGAGGGGTGAGGAAGGTGTGTGATGATGCCCGTCCCCTGACATTTCGGAGATAGATCCCAGCTTGATTTCTGAGATCGTTGCTGTCCAGTATGGTTGCTATTCGCCACAGATGGCCCCATGTGGCCAATATCTATATTTTGGACAACATGGGCATAGAACATGTCCATCATCACAGAAAGTTCTCTTGGACAGCGCTGGAGGTATTTCCTGCCAAAGGCCCAGGAGCTGCTGCGGGGGCATCGCCTGTGACACTGCTGGGCGTTGGGCAGTCCTGGGGGAAGCTCTTAGTATGTCCTTGAGGGGGGGCGGCTGCCAGGCCCCAGCAGGGTGACGGCTGAGAGAAGAGCCCAAGCCTGCAGCCCCGAGTCCACCCTCCTAGCCTGTCACCTTCAGGCCAACCCCTTAACCTCGTGGGGCTCCGGTTTCCTCAGTTTTAGAAGAGACAATTTGCATTCGCAGATCTGAGGTGCGCCCAGCCCTGGTGTCCTCTGATCCTGTGACTTTGCTCTCTTGGCCAGTACACTGCAGTTCCGGACCTCTACTTCGAGAATGCCATGCGGTTTTTCAACTTCTCCTGGAGGGTCACCGCGGACCAGCTCAGGAAAGCTCCCAACAGAGACCAGTGAGTGCCTGGCCTCCCCAGGGAGCACGGGTGCTCTGGGCTGAGCTCGCCTCTGTGACGCTCGTACCATGTGCTCGATATAAGTGTCATAAGGGCCCTCCGAAGAGTGGGTACTGTTACCATCCCACTTTTCAGTTAAAGAAACCAAGGATGAAGGAAGCGTTGCCCAGCCGGGAGCTAGGATCGGCCACGGCAGTGCCTCCAGCGCCAGGCTGTTAGCAGAGTGGCCTAGCCTCTGGAGTTGAGAAGACCGGGCATCACATCCCAGCTCTGCCACGTTAGCCGTCAGAGCTGGTGTGACAATCAGGTGTGAGAACTTCTGGAGAGTGTCACACAGAGGAGACCCTCAGCTAGTTTCCACTAATTCCCCACTGACAGAAGTGGTGGAGTCTCACGGGCAGTTCCCCCACAGAGGCCCCGGGGAAAGATTCTGGATAGGCCCACAGCAGCTGTGTTTCCCAAACCTCACTGCACATCAGAACCCTCCAGGGAATTTTTTTTAAAAGATACAGCTTCCTGGCTTGTAACCCAGACCTTCTTAAATCAAAATAATCTGGAGTGACACCTGGTATCTGTTGTTTTCTTAACAGTCTTCTCAGAAAACTCTGATATAGTCAGCCTAGTACTAGTTTTCAGACTCAGCTCCCTCCATGCCTAAAACATTTGGAGGAATCTTACCAAAAGGTGAAAGCAACTTCTCTTTGCCTCTGGCGCCCCCTTGTGGACAACGGGGGTTTGACCATCTCTGTTTCCTCTGTTTTCCCTTGTTCAGAGTACCCCTCCCTCTAAATGCAGAAGGCGGTCTTTAATCTCCAGAATATGGCACAGGTACTGCCATAGGTGCCAAATTTATTTGAAATGTTTTCATTTAGCTTGAGATTTTTCATTGAAATTTTGTCTCCTACTCATGAATGTATCCATGATTATTTGAATATAAATATGATGTTGTCAATTTCACAATAGCTTTCCATGGCTTCAGGCACCTAACACATCTCTGTGGGGCTCACCTAGAAACAGAGTGACCATCGAGGCTTTTAGAGAAAATATCCTTTCTGTCTCACTCCACTCCTCACTGGCCCTTCCACTCCATACCAAGGGGCCAAATGTCTCATTACTATATACCAGCAGAGTCCCTTCTGTGCTCTTAAAAAATTATTGATCCCAAAGAGCTTTTTTGTTTATGGAAGTTACATCAATTTTTATGCAAATTTTATGGAAAACCTATTTTACGTGTTTGATAAGAAAAGAGGTATTGTTTTTACTTTTTGCAAATTTCTTTAATGTGTGGCTTAATAAGAGACAGATGGATTCCTGTATCTGCTTCTGCATGCAGTCTATTGCAGTGTATTGTTTTAAAATACATAAAGAAAATCTAGCCTCACACAGATCTATAGTTGGAAAGGGAGAGGGAACATTTTATTAGTCTTTTCTGACATTAGTACACATTCTTCATTGATATTACACCAAAACTCAACAAGTTTCTTAAAGGCTAATTGCACTGTGGAATCCGAAACCGTATCTTTGAATTTCTCATACTTGGTTGCACTAAAATCCATCAGTTTGCCTTGTACTTTGCACAAATCTTTTACCCAAAGCATGATTTTGTAACATCAGGCATTGGTCATTTGGAAAGTAATAGTCGACTGAGTTTTATATATCTTCCAAATAGTGATTCTTGATACAATATCCAAAAAAAATCCTCATGCGTTAATATCACTGCCAACCTCCTAAGAAGTCTTTAAGTATTGAGAAGCTGACAAATTTGTGGTGGCAAGTTTTTCAGAATTTTAGTTTTTGCTTGAAACGTCTTTTTTTTTGAAACCTTGAATTTTTATCATTGGCGACAAATAGTGTCAGTTGTTTTCCTTGAGGCGATGGGCTCACTTTATTTGTTTTTAAAAGCAAATGTCTACCACATCCCAAGTCTGAAATGCCAGTTTGTCACACTTGTCCTCTCAAATACAAATGGTGTTCTGGGAAAAAACCAGAAGCATTTACATGTACTTCCTGCGTGGTCACATGGAGGATTTAAGGTCTTGTGCTCGAGGACCTAGCTTTAATGAAGTTGATAATTATGCTACATCATCAAGAATGTTCTAAAGTGAAAAAAGTGCTTTTTTTTTCTGATGAAGAAAATAATTGGTGCCTTGACTCTGCTAAGGCTACAACATTCTACTTTCTGTTGTTTTTACACCATCAGTGTAAATGCCAACACACTGACAAAGGTAAATAATATCTTAATGTTGTTATGAAAATAGTTTTGACCTCATAGACCCCCTGAAAGGGAACCGAGGACCCCCCTCCCAGATATCCACAGACCATGCTTTGAGAACATGGTTACATTTGAGAATGGATACATTTTGAGCCAAAACAATAATGACTTTTTTGGTGTATAATGGTCCATTGTGTTCTTTGTAAGAGCCTCAGTATTCCCTTGTGTGGTGTGACATCGGATTTAACCGATCCCTTATTCACAGACATTTAGGTGTTTTCCAGTTTTCCCCTCTCAAAAACAGTGCTGCTGTGGCTTTCCTTGTACTTGTGTACTCTTGGGCCTGGGGTCATGAGGAATCCACATTTTTAAGGCTCTTGGTACCCTTCAGGCGGGCTGTCCTCACTTGCCTTCCCCCTAGCTGTGCCTGTCTTTTCATGTGCGTGTTGCTTGCAGGTGGAGCATGACCCCCCCCATGGTGAACGCTTACTACTCACCCACCAAGAACGAGATTGTGTTTCCGGCCGGAATCCTGCAGGCCCCATTCTACACCCGCTCTTCACCCAAGTACGATCGACACTCCTGGTGCTTCTGCCCCATCTCTTTGCCCTGCCCCTAGGCAGACCCCAGCCCGGCCCTGTGGCCCACAGCTGACCACACGATCAAGCCAGCTCACTGAGTGCACTTTGCCCCATGGGCCCAGGCAGCCTGGGAGCATCCTCACCCCCTGGAATCTGGAAGCCCCGAGCAGTGGGAATGTGGGGGCATGTCATTCTAACAGTGTTTTAGAAGAGTCACAGCTGGGGAGCTGGGAAGGGTGAGGGCACCGTCTCAGAAAGGAGCTCCACACAGGCCTGGTTTTGCTGGCTGCGTGGCCCTTGGGCAAGGTGGTTGCACCATTCCAAGCCTCAGATTCTTCATTTATAGAGTCGGTTACTAATGCCTTACTTACTCTTCTGAGATGGCCAAGGAGAACAATGCAGTTCTGTCAAGCATCTAGCACCGAGCTTGGCATCCAGTGGGCACAGGCTGATCACAGCCGCCTCACCCAGCCTCTGACGAGCTTCACACTCGGGCTGCAGTCACGTCCCCGTGTGTCTCCAGGCCTAGGAAGTGGTGGTTCCTCCCACCGTGGCATCACTCTCTCTTTTGTGTCCTCCCATCCAGGGCCTTAAATTTTGGTGGCATCGGTGTCGTCGTGGGCCACGAGCTGACTCATGCTTTTGATGATCAAGGTATGGGTTCCTTGGGGGTCCCCGTTAGATGGGCCCACTCGCTTCCTGGCCCCGCTGATCATCTGCTTTTGCTCCCATCACTTCTGAGAGTCTTCGCCTTGAAATAGAAGGATCTGGGTTCAAAGCCTGGCCCAGCCAGCTGCCAATTGTGTGAACTTTAACAAGCCTCATCATTGCTCCAAGCCTCTGTTTCCTTGTCCATAAACTAGAAATGATGATCCCAGCCTCATGCGGTGATTGTGAGGGCTGTGTCAGACTCACAGTGGAGCACCCTGCTCCTGGCAGGTGTCCAGTCCTTGGGGTGGGTGGTAGTCAGCAGGAGCATATTCCTCACCACCACTCGAGAATTCTCTGGTCTGACCACAATCAGAGGAGTCGAAGTCAGTCCCCTGATCACCAGCTAAGGTCCAGAATCCTCATTGCCTCCTGCCTTGGAGAGCCCAAGTCCGAGGAGGAGGAGGCAGGACCTCAGAGGCTATGACCTTAGCCACCGGCTCCATTTACCCCTCTGTGCCCAGGGTCAGAGGCTCTCAGCAGCCTTGACAGTGAGTCCTGCTCCACCTGAACTTTGAACATGTTAGTCCTTTGCCTGAGTCACGTTCCTCCATCCCCCGCCCCCACCCGGACTGGCTAATTCTAATTCATTCAGCAACTTCAACGCTCAGAGCGGCGGTATCTCCCCAGTGCTGATTGGTCGATGGGCACAGGTGGACGAATCCATTCCTCACCGTGGGGGGAGAGGCACCTTCAGCAGCAAGGGGTCCGGTTCTTCCTCCTCATCCCCTTGACGCGACGCTGCCCTCTGACCCCGCAGGACGGGAGTATGACAAGGACGGGAACCTGCGGCCCTGGTGGAAGAACTCATCCGTGGAGGCTTTCAAGCGGCAGACGGAGTGCATGGTGGAGCAGTACGGCAACTACAGCGTGAACGGGGAGCCGGTGAACGGCCGGCACACGCTGGGCGAGAACATCGCCGACAACGGGGGCCTCAAGGCGGCCTATCGGGTAAGAGGCCCGCTCCCCGCTCCCCGCTCCCCGCTCCCCGCACAGCCGGGCCCAGGTCTGGCTCATTGCGGACAAGCTGAGGCCCCCGCGAGCAGCAGTTTCCTCACAGCTTGGCCATAGAGCCAGTTCCAGGTTGATTCCTGGTTCGGCTCCTCACCTGGAGCCTCGGCGTGCTTCGCTGTGAGTCCCCAGTCCCTGCATCACTGGAGTGTTAGAGAGGTGACATGTGACAACTGGGGCACAGGGCCTGGGGCAGAGTGGCCCTCAGAAACGGTAGCTGGATGAGTTGGATGAGAGTGATAACAGAGGCCACAAGAGGAAAGGAGATGGGTCTCCCAGCGAAATGCTAAGACGCACCGGTTACTGAGGCCTTGTCACGTGCCAGGCCCTGTGCTCAGCGCCCCAGCCACTCTGCAGTTAGGTATCGCAACCCGTTTTGCAGATGAGAAAACTGAGCCCAGAAACATTCTGTAATTTGCCGGAAGTCCATTGTCAGTGCACGTGTGTTGCAAGACTTCCACCCGCCATGCACTGAAATTTCTGCAGCAAGGCAGATGGGGGTCCTGTTCTCACGAAGTCTCCATTTTAGTGGAGCAGAGAGGGGACAGAAAAACCGTACATACCGAAACAAGATAATTTCAGGTACTGAGAACACACGATATAAAATAGGGTGATGTGATCAAGAAAAATGGGGGCTGAATGTCAGGGGAGGTTGTCTGGAGGGGACGACATTTGAATTGAGATCGAAATGATGAGGAGGGGGCAGGGAAAGCTCGGAAAGAAGTGCCGAGGCCAGAAGGTGACACAGGCCTGGCACATTCAAGGACAGGACGGAAGACAGGGCAGAGTGAAGAGAGCACAGGGCTGAGTGCGCGAGGTGAGGCTCGAGGAGAGGCTGGGACCGGAGCAAAGAGCTTGGGTTTCATTCTGGTTACAGTGGGAGTTGCCGCAGGGTTTTTAAATAGAGGAATGATATGGTCCAGCTTATCCTTTAAAACAGGAATCAGTAAACCTACAGCCAGACGCAGCCCTCAGCCAGTTTTTGTAAATAAAAATTGGGGGGGGGTGGTGCAGCCAAGCCCGTCCATTTCTGTGTTTTCCTTGGCAGCTTTCACCCTATAGTGGTGGAAGGGGGTAGTCGGCAGAGACCGTTTGGCCTCCAAAGCTGAAAATACTTGCTCGCAGAAAGGGTCTGCCAACCCCTGCTTTATAAAGATGACTTAATTACGATGTCAGGAGGGGATTCGAATTGGACCCGTTTGTGTCAAGAAGCCTGGTTAGGAAGCTGTCGTGAGGTTGTCCAGGTAACAGATAGGCTAGAGCAATGGGAAGTGTGAGAAGTGGTCAGATTGGGGGTGTCTGCTTTGACTGAAAGAGAAGAATCAAAGAAGAGTTCTAGGTTTCGGGCCCAAGTACCCAGGTGGTTGGTGGTACCATTTATTGGGATGGGGAAGGCGTGTATGCGTAACCTATCGTCTGTGCTGTGTTAAGTTGGAGATGTATCTTGGAGGTCCAGCTGGGGCAGTTGAATATACAAATCAGAGAAGAACCTGGGGCTGGAAATATGCATTTGCAAGCCATCGGCATGTAGATGGTGTTGTCTAAGGCCTTAGCTGAATGCACTCGCCTTCAGAATGACCGCAGATAAAGGAGATGGCTCCTCTAGGCTGAGCTGGGCCGTCAGAGCTGATGCCCAGACCCCATATCCTGACAGGGAAGTTCTACCCTGTCGAGATCTACCGAGTTCTCCCGTGCTAGCCTCTCCGTCGCCACCCTGCCTGTTCCCGTGTCACGGGGGCCCTGAGATCCGTCTTCTCCCCTCCCAGGCCTACCAGAACTGGGTGAAGAAGAATGGGGCCGAGCAGACATTGCCCACCCTGGGTCTCACCAATAACCAGCTCTTCTTCCTGGGGTTTGCACAGGTGAGTTCGTGGGGAAAATGCTAAACTCAGGCACATTCTGCCATCTTGATGTTTCAGAAGTGCTGAGAGCCGAAAGGCAAGTTCCCCTCAACTGAGGACCTCCTAGCTCATTGCACCTCTACCCTGTAAGAAGGCGAGCTTCCTGTCATTAGAGAGATTCAAGGAAGGGCCAACACTGCATCAGGTAGATGAGAGGACAAGGTGATCACTAAGGCCCCTTCTGGTTCCGGGGCTCTAGAAATTTCTTAAACTCAAGATGCCCAGGTTGTCCCTTGAGTTGGCATTCAGCATAGAGCCTTCTGTTGGCGCCCAGAGCTACCAGGCCATTAGACAGTTTGTTCTGCCCAAGAAGTGAGTGATCTGGATTCAAGCTGAGATTTTCAACCTGTTTTGGGAGGTGAATCCTTTGTTCAGACGAAATCTAACACAGATGCCTGGGACAGACAGAGACGCTGCTCTGTCTGCAGGAATTCATTTGGAGACCACTGCAGTAGACGATGCTGGGATGGGGGACACAGGAGCCCACTGTTTCTTCCTTACCCACTTGGCAGACCCTCCTGACTCCCGGGAGTCTCGGAACCAGGTGGGGGGCTATCATGGACAGGGCCAGTCCAGCCTCCTCGGGGCCCCACGGTGACCCAGCTTCTTCCTTGTTGCCCTCACAAAGGTCTGGTGCTCCGTCCGCACGCCCGAGAGCACCCACGAAGGCCTCATCACTGATCCCCACAGCCCCTCCCGCTTCCGGGTCATCGGCTCTGTCTCCAACTCGAAGGAGTTCCCCGAACACTTCCACTGCCCGCCCGGCTCACCCATGAACCCGCGTCACAAGTGTGAAGTCTGGTGAGGGGCAAAGCACCAAGGACCACAGTGGACGAGGGTGCAGGGCTGAGGACGAGCCCTCGGGTGGAACCCACAAGGCTGCCTCCTCCATCCAGTGCCCAGGGTGCCACCCGGCTCCCTTGGCCACCCAGGGCCCCCTACCCCACACTGGAGGGTTTTCAGCGGGAACCGAGCCTGTGATGTGGCTCCTCGGCATAACCCAAGATTCGATCCCCTGCGAAGACCCTGTCATCCCAGCACACGTGCGCCAACTCTAATGGGCTTTTGGGTGTCGGACTGGTTGCTCGCCAGGCCTGGGCCCCCCCAACAGGGGCAGTGGGACGCAGCCCCATGCCCACCTCCAGCGCCAGGTGCACCACAAATACCACTGTGTCACATGCTTTAAAGATATATTTTTGGGGAAACTATTTTTTAAACGTCGTGGAATACACTGGAAATCTTCAGGGAGATTATGCATTTAAAACACTTTTTTTTTTTTTTTTTTTTTAAGGAAAGGATTGGTATATTTATTACGTTCTGTTTTTCTAAATATCCTGTGGACGAGGGAAGCCCCACTGATCGATGCCCTTTCTCTTCCTCACTCGCTGCAAGGTTGGGCTGAGGCAGTGATCCCCAGGCCACTGAGCTGGTCCCCAAATGGATGGCTGCCTCTGTCCTCGAGATATACCATGTCAGCCTCCCTCCATCACCTGGTTCTGGGGTCACCCTGTGCAGAGAGGAAAGGCATGGAGGCCAGCTTGGGGAGGCCCAGCTCCTTGGCACCACCCCTCTTGGTGTGCCCACCTCTGTCCCCAGAGTCCTAACAATGGGAACCCCAGCAAAGAAGGTCTGATCCCCAAAGTCACAGTAGGGGACTAATGGCTGCAGCAGCACTGTACTAGGACAAGGCCCTCAAACCGAGGCTGGGGTACCCGAGCACCCTGGCTCTGCACCACAGGACCTCGGCAAGGCTGAGACCCCCACCCCCATCAGACTCTCGCCTGTGCCATAGACACCCTCTTTTCATCCCTCCTCTTTTGTCTGCCCCGGGGACCTGTTACTTCTCCGCAACAACACCCCCACCCCAGCCCCTTCCAGGTCTGCCTTGCCGACCCTCTTCCCCAAGGGAGGAAAAAGAGAAAACAGCTCTCATCTCCCACAGGGCCCAGATACTCCCTCTGAGCGCCGTCCTCCAGCCCCTGCCCTGTTCTCTAGTGCCTTAGCTGAGGCGACAGCCCTGGGCACCACCCCAAGGAGACAGCCCCTTGCCCCCAGGGCCCCTTGGCCTCCTCAGCAAAGCCTCCAAGTGTCCTGATTGGAACATAAGGCCATACCTCCTACTCCCAGTGCCCACAGAGCTGCCTGTCACAGCAGCACAGAAGCTCTGACCTAAGGTCAGTAACACCGAAGTCAGGCGTCTGAATGACCCCTGAACGTGCCCTGGGCCCCCATCCCACCCTCAGCCCTTTGGGTGGAATTAAGACAGTACTTGTAGCTAGATGGACTCCTCTTCTTGGGGATACTCTCAGCCCTGGGAGTCTCTGAGGGGCAGGTGCGTCCAACCCCGTCGGTCTGGCCTGTGGTGTCAGGGGACCAGGAATGTCATAGCCTCCCTGGGGCCACAGTTCAGTAGCTCCTCAGGTGTTGCTGATTGCAGCCTTGCTCTGGTCCTCTGGGGAAACAGGCACTATGACCAGTGTCCACCGTGGCTCTCCCATCTCAGGGGCCCAGGCCACCCGGCCAGGCCCCTCTCCCACAGGCACTCACCCAGAAAGCCAGGTCCTCCTTGCCTCAGGAGGAGCAGCAGCTCAGCCACTGCCTCACTCACCTTCGGCTCAGCCTGGGAGCTGGAGCAGGGGTGTTGGGTGTGGGTTCCTGATGAGGCCCATGTTCCCTGAAACAGCAGGCCTGTAGCTCTTCAGCGGAAAGGTAGGACGGGGGCCAGACAAGAAGCTAGAGTCGGGAGCCTGCCACACGCACCTTGCCACACTTTCCCAGTCCTGGCGCTCTCGTGCCTACTGTCCCCCACCCTCCTGCCTTCTGGCCTGGCCTACGGAGAGTCACAGCCCTGGAGATGTCAGCACCATGGACTGGGACCTTCCACGAGCCAGAGGGAATTGTAGACAGCACTCACTGCTTTGAGGTGCGGCCCTGGAGGGGTGAGGGGAACGCAGGGAGGAGGGCCCAGCCCAGGAGGAATGGAGAAACCCCCTCCCCTTAAGCCCAGGGAGCCAAAAGGCTGGCTTCTCTGCAGGTACATGGACATGGGCTTTAGAGCTGGGAATCTATTTTTTGTATTATTGTTTGTGCTATTGTAGTTTTTGGTGTGGCAATATTGTAATTGAAATAAAGTACTTGTACTGAGGGTCATGTGACTGAGTGTGTGTCCCCCCCCAGGGCAGTGAGCCACCATCACTCCCCCCACCCCCACACCCCTAGCATCATCAGAACCAGATGCACCTTCTCCCCAGAGCAGAGGCCTTGGATCCTGACAAATGCTAGAAGGTTACTCCCGGTGCCCACCTGGCCACTCTTCCATCATGGATATGATCATGTGAACACCCCCTGCTGGTGAGAATAATGCATGGCACCACATGGGCCCAAGGAGCCTCTTGGTAAAAGTAATTTTCCATTATCTTGGAGCAAAAGATGTTGGCATGGGCATGGGTTTCCAGGCCTCAGATGCTTGGACAGGGCAGGCGAGAGTAGAGAAATTCAAGGAAGAATCTCTGATACACACTCATGCCTGCTCCTGGGTTTTATATATGTTCTTTCCTCTTACTAAAATACTCTTCCCTGACTTCTCTGCTTGATAAACTCCTACCTATCCTTCGATGCCCAGCTCAGCATTCTCCCCTGTAGAAAGAAAGCCCTTGCTGACCTTTAGCCCAGATCCATCACCAGCTCCCCAGTGCACTTTCTTGGCCCACAGGACCTGGACCTGGCCCAGCCTTCCTCTCACTGCCCCCTCTGCACCTTCAGCCTCCTTGCTGTACCTTAAACAGTCCAAGCCTTTTCCTGCCTGTCCTTCAGACTGGAATATTCATACTCACCAGTGAATGAATGCATGAATATATGAACTTTTTTTTAAGCTTCTATGTATTACATGCCTATCGTAAATCAAGCTGTGTGCCATGCCTCCTTGGATGCAATCTTATGAGGTGTTTATAACCCAGATCACAGGGGAAATAGTGGCAGAGCTGGGTTCTGAACTCTCAGCCAGGCAGTTAGCAAGGAGTTGCTTTGGAAAATGTGAGAGGCTACTAAGGAACAGTGATGGCTGGCGGATCTCTCTGTCTCGCCTTCTGTCTCTCTTTCTGTCTGTCTGTCTCTCTCTGTCTCTCTCTCTCTCTCTCACACACACACACACACACACATACACACACACACGCATACAGAAGCTGAAGGTGCAGAAAGGCAATGTCATTTCTTTTCCTGCAGAAGTGCAACTTCCGGGTTTCTAATGACCAAGTGAACAGGCTCCTTCTTCCCGGCTCTGAGACCACCCCCCACCTCCCTTCCCCTCCTCCTCTTCCTTCCTCTTTAGCAATAGATCCTCCCCCCACCACAACTCAACACATGCCCCGCTCCCCAAGCAGGAATTTCAACTTCAGCCTGGCCCTTTAGGGGTTTATCCTGAAGTTGGGGAATGGAAACGCCTGCAAGATGCAACTTGAGAACCACTGGGAAATGTGTGCGACCAATAATAATTGTACAAGCAGAAGGGCTCAGCAGAGGCTGTCTGAAAGGGCTGAGGAACTGCAGAAGGGAGGGATTAGAGAAGGTACTACACTGAAGAATCTGGTACACTAATAACCCAATGAGAAATGGATGAGACCTTTACAAAGAAAACTAACACTTTACTGAAGAATATTAAAGAAGACCTAAATAAATGCAGATGAATAATACCCTGATTGTGGATGGAAAGGTTCAATGTGATAAAAGATGTAGATTTTCTCTCAAATTAGCGTATAATTTCAGAATACTCTCGACCAAAATTTCAAGTTAATTTTTCATGGAACTTGATAAGCCGATTCACGTGGGAGAGAAAATACACAATAGCTAAGACAGTTTTGAAAAAGAACATGAGGGATCTGGTCTTATCAAAATAAATAAAGCTATAGTGAATAACATAGTGTGCTATTGACGTAAGAATAGAAAAACTGAACAACTGGAATAGATCAGAGGGCCAGAAACAATCCTCGTATATGTGGGAATTCCTGTAGGAAAAAAGAAGCCCTTTAAATCAGCTGAGAAATGGTGAACCGTTCAGTAAGCGGTGTTAGGATATCCACTTGAGAAAAAATCATCTAGATCCTGCCTTCCTCACACAATTCTCACATACACTGTTCATTATAATAAATTCCACATACGTTAGGGAACTAAACATATGAAAACCATAAAAGTCTTAAACTATAACAGAATGTGTTTATAACTTTGGATAGGCAAAGCTGCCTGTAAAGACAAAGGAAAAACATAAAGGAAAAGACTAGTATATTTGACAACCTCAAAACTTAATCCTTTTTTAAAGAAGATACAATAAGTAAAATTAAAAAACAAGCGACAGATTGGGAGAAAAAAATGCAAGATATATAGCTAATCATCTAGAATATATTTAAACAACTCGTAAAATAAGAAAAAATAAATAAAAAACCCATCCAGGTGAAAAAGAGCAAAATATTTAAACCAACCACCCAGAGCAGAGAAAATACAAAAAGATGAAAGAAAAATTTTGAAAAGATGATCTCACTAATAATATGAGCAATGCATTTAAAACTACAATGACGTTAACATTTTTCATTCATCAGATTGGCAAAAACAATGAAATTTGATATTAAGTGTCGGTGAGGATGTAGGGACCTCTGTACTGTTACCCACTATGGTGGCCAATGTGATAGCGTTTATTAAAAGTAAAGGGCATTTAATTTACCCGGACTTCCAAGCTGAAAGGGCAAAGATGGCTCCCTAATTTCGAATCTCCCTGGGACTCACCCTCCCCGCAAAAGCATGTAAATCAACAAAGAGAGGAAATAAAACCACACATAAACCTCAAATTCTCCGAAGTAGAGAAATCATCCAAATTCCAACGGAACTCCCACCACATGCAGCTGCAAGCCCGTGGGCACAGAAAGTGTCAAAAGAAGAGGTTTAAGAGACATTGTGAAAACTAGTGGAGGGGCGTGGCGATCTTAGATGGGCACGACCATCATCACTCCCAGGATGTCCAACAGCAAATGCCAAAATACTGAACATAGTCGGAGCATAATAGCCACGAGCACACCAGCAGCAGGGAAGAGCCTTGGAGAAGCATTGCTTCTTGGGAGAATCAGTTTTATACAGTAGGGGAGAGTTACCTCCTCCCCGCAACCCTCATTTGTAGATGTGGTAATGAAGAGAAAGAAGAGATTAAGAAAAGAAAATTAAGAATCCTAAAAAGGAAACGAGAAATAAGAAAAAGTAACTTCCGGCTTCCCTCCTCCACACCTTTCATGAAGGACAGTAAGACGGACAGCAGAGGGCGCACTTGCATGAGGAGTGCCGTCCGTGAGTGTACAGGACTGGAAAACGATGGGTAAATCACATGCATTCAAAACTACTGTTGGAAAGGAAAAGAAATGCAAATCACAGCATTTCAATTGATAAACTTCTTTTCTTAAAATCGAGCATTAAGCTGAAGAAAACTTAATACCACACTCCAAATTGAATCAAATATCCTCAAATAAGCATTTGGGGATATAGAGAAACGCCTCAAACCAGAAACACAAAACTAACAACAGAAAAAGATTAAAAAAAAAAAAAAAAGGAAAAAATAAAACAAAAATTGATCTCAGGGAAGAAAATTAGAAAGCCATATCATAAAATTTAAAAGATGCCCAAGGAAGAATAGATTCAAATAAAAATTTAATAAAAGACATTGAAGAAAAGCAGAAAAACAACCAAGAGAGTGAAAATTAGATAAAGAAGTAAAAATGGTCAGAGAGGAAGTGATTGAAATGGAAGATAGACAAAGAGCTGACATTTCAAACTGTAATCCAAGAAGACTTTCCAAAAATAAGAGATCTGGATCTACACATCGAAAGGACTCACTATGTAAACCTGACACTGATTCATCAGCTCTAAGAAATATCCTACTAAAGCCATTAGACTTTAAAGATAGGAAATCCCCAAGGCCTCCAGGCAAAAATATGAAATAATAACTTTTAAAGGCATCAGAATTAGACTGATATCAGACTTTTAAACAATAGCATACATTTTATGAGGTACCAGAATAGTCAAATTCATAGAGACAGAAAACAGAGGTGACCAGGTGCTGGAAGTGGGGGAAAAGAGGAATTATTGTTTAATGGGTGCAGAGTTTTCGTTCGAGATGATGAAAACATTTTGAGTATAGATAGTGGTGGTAGAGACACAACATTTTGAAAGCATTTAATGCCACTGATTGTACATTCATGAATGATTAAAATGATAAATATTATATATATTTCAACACAAAAATATAATTAACGTACAAACCAAGGCAATAGTGCAGGAGTATTCTCAAAAAAACTCGTGGAAGCAATCCAAGGATGTTATATTGAACTGAACCGTCTTACAAATATCAAAACTACAAAAAGAAACAGTTTGAAATGTGCAAGAACTCAGGGAATATAGTACACACGTGCCTTTCCTGAAGAATCTACTATAGAATGAGCCTCATCGGAGAGATGAACTCTTTAAAAAAGAACTGTTAGTGAGCATTTCATACATTTCGATTGTAGAGCAGAGATTAAAACAAGGTTGGGGCAAGGCATAAACATATATTCTGAAAAAGCGAAACAAATGCGACTAAAAAATGGTAGGAAGCGAAAGGAGATAGAGATTATTGACTATTGAGTGATGAGAACAAAAGATACCATTCAAAACTAACAGACTAGATAGTAAAAAGTTAAGAAAAAATAGGATTAAGGGCATTATAAAATATTAATACAAAGATAACAAAATATCAGAACAAAAATACAGACCTTCCTAAATACCAATTAATTTAAAATGAGCAAAGAGGATACATCAAATAGAGAAACTATAAATATAATCTACCATTTCTTCCATTTCTCTTTGCACCTCTTGTATTTTACATTTTAGATAGAGAATTGATATGGAATTTGGTGCGTATTCATAACTAATGATCAGAGCCATTCACAAACCACTCCCAGCCAACTTGACAAAAAATAAGTAAAGATGTAAAAATATAAACAAAATAATCAGTTAGCTAGTTCTTTTGGATATGTATTGCTATGGATGAATTGTGTCTCCCCGCAAACGTCATACGTTGAAGTCCTAACCGCCAGTGTGAATGGTATTTGGATAGGGGTTCATTGGGAAGTATTA